AAATCTATATATATGTTTAAGAGTTTGATGAAAAAAAATTAAAATAATTGTATAGTTTGGAGGTACAATGCCTATGTTGTTGAAGCCACTGGCAGTTTGGCCTTTTATTTTAGTAGGGATGAGGTTCATATGCTTTGTTCTTAAATTTCTCTGAAGCAAGATCCTTTGCTTCTTCCCACTGCTTTTTACTTATCGGCTCATTTGCTTTTCAGCATCACTAAGGCAGGAAAGATAACCTTTGCTTCATCTTTTTGAGGACTGGAAGTGCTTAATTCTACCCGGGAAAAGGAGATTATAATGTGAGCAGGCTGGAGCAGAGTAGAAGCATTATGTGAGGTTTTCATTAAAGTGGAGAGAACACAGACTTAGAAAGTTATCACAACACAGACTGCATTACACAATCTGAAAATTGACTCTCTTGTTCCTAATAAGCTTTGTGAGTTAGTCTGGAGTTGGTTTTTCCTTGCTTTAGTAGAGACTCTGCTCTTTTTACTTGTACTCAGCTTGAAGGAAGCCCTGATGGAGTGCCTCACAGCAGTTAAATGTGCTTTAGGAGCTTCCATTTCTGTACAGTTTACAGTTTTCTCCGTGCTGCTACAATGTCCTGGGATCCTGTGGCTCAGAGCTCTGCACACAGGCTGTCCTTTATTGTAAAAACAAAAGAGCTGGATCCTGACTCCAAGGTTTAGTGGGCCAAGTTGAAGGCAGGATGCCAATGAGTTTTGTGAGTAGCCGACTTGGAGGAGATAAACGTAGAGGAAACATGCAGAGAAATATCAGAAACAAGAATGTGTTTCCTGAGTGTATCGTGGCTCATCTTATACCACAGTCTTGGAGGGGAAAAATAGAGATGACCAGGAAGGAGGAATGCTAGTTTATAACCGTGGGGCTAGAAGTGCTCATGTGTCCCAGACGATGGAAGTGAGACATGGGAAACAAGCAAGCTCTGGTGGCCCAGACAGCTGACAAGGGGCAGGCATTAAAGATGTTAAACTCTTAGCATGCTGAAAGTTTTCCCACTGCTTAAAAGCCCCCTTTCCCCCTTGTGTGCCCCTATGTTATGGCTTCTTCATGTCCAGTTGAGGAGTCCTCTCTCTTCCTGCCATCACATCACCTTCTGGAGAGGAAGTGCACCCTTGTTAGACATCAGACAGTTTCTCACTTCTGGGCTGTTCTCCCATGGCCTCCACATACCAACCTGATTTAACCCTAATTTAGAAACATCAAAACCCAGAGGAATTCCATAACTAAACACTTTGTTAAAAGAGTAGAGCTTGAATGCTTAGTTTTAGCAGGGTCCAGCAAGTACTCATAAAACAATATTACACTTTCTATATAAACATTCTGCGCCTTAAAAAAAAGTGTAAAGTCTGGAAACAAAGGAATTCAGCCACTTCTCAACTGCCATAACATCTTTCATCACTCACTATCACTCCAGCCAACTTTAACTTTGCCAAAATATATGCCAATCTCAAAATAATAAATTACTGGCAGTTTATAACATCTAAACTCTCCATTTCCTTGTCAGGGGTCTGTTTCCAATAGACCATCACAGGCTCGTATATTACTGCAATTCCCACCAAATAAAAAAAAAGGACTATGCATGTCAGGTTTTTACAGCATGAAAGTTAAAAAAGCAAACTTGCAACTGCTGTACACATTCATGTTCTCCTTTGAGGCCAGGCCTCCTTAAAAGCAGACAGAATTCCAGGTCTGCTCAAAAAATGATTATTTATTCCAACCTATTGCAGAGGATTTTCTAACACAGAGAGTTTTACCATATGGTTAGTAGACAATATTCTGGAGGGCACTGACCCTGGTCTGGGTATGGGTGGCTTCCCTCCAGCTCTGCTCTGACACGCTCCTCGCTCAGGGTGGGAGAGCCGTTCCCTGGCTAAGCTGGAGAGGGACTGCTCTTTGCCTCTCCTGCCCATCCACTGTCATGTCTGTTTAAATGAAGGTTCTCAGGAGAAGGACTTGCTTTGCCACTCGCTTTGTGTTTGTACAGCACCTATCGCCAGTGCAATAATTGGAATAAAAGTAAACAAAAGCAGAAATGGCACTAATCTTTGATACAGACCACAATGACTGGGAAGGAGAATCTACTCTGATAAATGAACCAAGTGATTCATGCTAATCAGGTCGGGTGCCAGAGGGAGAAGAATGGCAAGAGATGAATCATCCAAGAGATGAATGGGTCCTATCATCTGGTGTATTTGACTTTGAGATATTTTTAGGGTATTGACTTTTTTGGAGACAGACAACAAAATGTTATTTCACCTAAGAGTTGCTTGTTATTTCACCTAAGACTTGTGCTTCTCTGACAACAATAACTTTATTGAGAATAACTAAACTGCGAGTACCTGGTCACCCAGCATCACCGAGTGTAGCATCCAGGGCCATTCATGCAGCGCTTTCTGCTTTTCAAGTTGGGGGCCTGTACTCTGTACCTTTTTTCTGGCTCAGCTTTTAGAAGAGTCAACTTTCTTTGTCTCATAAACATGATACCAGCATCAGCAGAACTTACATATTCATTTTTATCTGTCTAGAGCAAGCAGAGCAATAGACTCAGTACAGTTCGTGAGCATTCAAGTTCTCCAGTCTGGCTTATTCACAGAATATGCAACTGAATATCTTCTGTAAAATTCCTGAAATATTCAGTCTCTTTCAATTCCCTCCTGTCTCTCAGAAGTCACTCATTCTCCCTTTTGAGTTTGTCCTGGACAAGTGATCTCATTATGGTCATGCACTGCAAGCACATGCTGAGTGAGCTCCACTTCTCCTCTGGTACTACGTAACATTTTTCACTTTGGTTTTTGGAGATCATTTGTAGGCTATCTGTCTCTCTTATGCTCTGTCTAACCTCAGTTGCTTTTCTCATAGCCAAGGCAGATCTGTTATTTCCCTGCCAGGTTCCCTTGCATCCACCATCTGTACAAGAAGCTCTTTGTGTGTTTCACTGGAAATGCAGGCACTGCTGTTGGCCCATCTGCTGCTTTTGTACCCCTCTCCCTCTGCAACGTTGGTAGGCACCCTTATAGCAAAGTATTAGGTCCGAATGGCTGCAGAGATTGCCCAGCTTGCTGGCAGAGCCTGGCTTCAGGAAGAGAATTTAGAAAAAAAACCCCACAACCCCCTGGTTTTGAAGGTGATAGATGCTCTTTTAGGTCCTGATGTATCACTTCTCTCCTGAAATTGCATCTACGTCATGCTGGCTCGACAGTCTCAAGGTTTTTTAAGAAGCCTGATAAGGACATGCTTTATGCAATATATCTTTAGGCTCTTCACGCTTTGGATGGGGTTCTCCCAGTTTGCAAACAGAATATTTGGCCCAGTCAGAGAGAGTGCAATGTGATATGCTGCAGTCAGTGATCACTAACCACCTTGCATCAGGTCTGGATTTAGCCCAGTTTTATTGTAAGTCTTGAATCTCAGTGTCAGTGGTATAAATGTAAACAGATCTGTATTATTTTGACAGTAGAGCTGAAAGATTGTTTCCAGTAAATAAACAGTAGTATGATTGCAGTATCTCTTTATCTGTGGGCACTATCTTTGGGTACTTTAAGATTTCTTGAGATATCCTCTGACACTTCAAAATTTCCTCTGCTACTTCAAGCCATTCATTGATGTGTTTCTATGAATGATTCCTCACTCCTGTTCTTCAAAAGTCAACACAGGCACTTGACCCTACATATTGCTAAAACATCAAGCTATACCAAAGCCTTTGCAGATCCATGACTCATGCATCATTCATAGAAATCGTTCCTCTCCGTAACCTATAAGGAATTATGTTGACTTCCTTGAGATTCTGCAGTGTTCAAAGTAATGCATGTGCATGTGTTTCTTAAGACTGGGACCTTAGTCTGGAGATTGTTCATCAGCAACTTGCTGCAAATGTTCTGTATTCAACATGTGAAATCATAGCTACAAAGGTTAGTTTTGACAAAATCCTCAAAACAGATGGTGTTTCCTGGCTGCCTACACATCATGCACACACAATTCAGAAGTCCGGCACCAGAGTCCTCCAATATTCCTAAGAAATCGCTGCTCTAAAGAAACATTTTGGACAGTGAACTAATTTTGTAGATTATATGAAATGCAAAGAAGCAGAAGGCCTGCCAAGATTACACAGATTTGTTATTCAAATCAGTATCCCCAAAAAAACCTAAATCTAGTTCACCATTTAAAAATATTCCTTTGGACTATGACATCTAATGCCATTCAGGGAGGGGAATGGGAGAGAAGAACTGCCTGCTTCCAAAGCAGCTGCTACTCTACTGAGATCCCAGGGCTCCTGCAGCGATCAGAAACACCCATCAGCCCAAGCCTGCACCCCAGGCCAGTGAAGAAGGCAGAAAACTCACAGAGACGTGTCCTCAGCTGGAGGAGAGATATCTTCATTGACTTCTTAATGATGTCAAGTGGAGATTTACCTCATAACATGTATAAAATTTCTCATTGTGTTTATACATCTATGGAAAATTTAAAATGACAGGACCAAGCTACTGCCTAACACGTGTGCTACCTGCAGTGAGCTCTAGCAAATCCCTGTGCCATTGCCCAGGGCTGTGCTCACTTAGAATTACCCACTCTGATTTGGTGTGAGTTATGATGGTGTAAGTGACAGCATTCAGTTCACACCAGCGTAGTCATTCCCATACACGAAAAAAGAGAATTATTGAGGGATAAAATTACAATTGAACCAGGAAGTTAATAAAAAAGAGCTTGCTCGTTAGTTAAACTTCAGCGCTTTGGTTTTGGTGTCATTGCTACGGACAAAAATAATCAACCAGAAATCCAAAATACTAAAAAGGAGATTATCTCCTTAGAAAGATAAGTGCCATGTAGCTTATAAATAGCTCTGGAATGAAGACATCCCACGCAACATCTGGAAAAGGAAGAGTTCACTCCTTGACCTTCAGCATCGCTGTCTCCCACCAGCAGGATTAAGCACAGTTGATCCTTACCAGGATACAGACACAGTGGCTGGCTGACGGATGGGCCAAGGAAGAGGCAGCCATGGCCAGAGGCAAGGGAAGGACAAACCAAGATAATGTAAAAGTACTAAGGAATGCTCCCAGTGTGCAGGATCTCTGAGACAAGTCTCTCTCTTGCTGTACAAAACGTTTTAGCTTTGCTCAGGCCTTTGAAAGACAGAAAAGTGCTAACAGTCACTTCAACAAAAATAGGAGGGCAGCATTCGTGTGTCTGAATGGAGCATCAGTTTTCAAAAAAATCAAGCTGTCCTGGCCAACCTGTCACTTAGTGGGACGCACTGGACACTGGAAGCCTGTAAGTACAATTTAAGCACATATAGCACCACCTTATCCCAACAGCTTCTCTGCAACCAGTACAGGTGCAGGGAGAAGGAATCACTGCCCAGTTCAATAGATGCACCACAGAACTTCTGCTTCTGCTTAAACAGTCATTTCCTTAACTCTTACTTGCTGGCTGTCCAGATTAATAAACATGCTATATTTTGTAGTCTTCATTAATTTCAGAAGTGGAATACTGTAATTTAAAATGGATGGTTTCAATGTCCCTCATCCAGCCCCTTTAACCTATGACCATTACTTCATTTGTAGCAGAAAATGAGCTTTCAATTCCTGTATTGTTTTACAACTTGTGAGCAATTTTCATTGAATACACCAGTAGGGACTATTCTAAAGCTTTTTTTAAAAAAAAAAAAGTATTGCTAACAAAAATTTTAAGTGAATTATAGTTTATTTTGATCATTGCCTGGTTTAGTGGCGATCCCATAAGATCATTGCAAGCATTCACGCTAGAATCACATAACCCCTCTGGAAGCAAGTTGAATGAGGATCAATGATACTGGTATGTCTACTGGTCATAAATGCCAGTCACACATCTACAGTAGCAGAGAAAACTTCAAAGCAAAATACAATCAATTCTCAGGAGGCTAATTTTCTTTCATAGTTTTTATGTGGTAGACTTGCCCATACTTGGAGGTACATTTATGTATTTTACCTTCATTTCTTGCTGGGTTTATGCATGATAAGGCTCAAATTAACATTTTGTGCAATACTACTTTATCTGTACCAGGAGCTGGACATAGCTGAGGCACTTCTTTCTCCTGCAACTCCACTGAAGATTGGAGCAGGTCATGGCTTCTGATGGTGGGGATGGCTCCCTTGCCCAGTTCCCCCAAGCACCAGCCATGCTTTACCCAGCCCGTTTTTGGAGGGTGTATGGGAGGGTGTACAGGCTGCACACAGCAGCCTTAGAGGCGCTCCTGGAGGAAGCCAGGATGTGAGCTCGCCTCCCAGCCTGACCGGTTGCCACAGGTCTTGGAGGTACAACGTAGACCAGTGAAGGCAGGGCTTTGTGCGGTGCACATGAGGCTATGGGCAGAATTTGGCTTAACTCTGCAGAATAAACTTGTCTCTTTAACAAGTAGTGTTAATATAAGACAGACTGAACTGGTTTCCTCACATATAAATCATTAACTGGTAGCTAGTTCTCACTCCCACCTGCACCACATAGCTTGTGACTTTAGTACAAGAAAGGTTTTTCCACCCACACCATACTCAATGACTCATGCCTAATGAGGTTTGGCTGTTTGTTGATTGGGTTTGTGTTTTGCAGGTGGAATGTTCTTATTCCAGTGAATCACAAGGGCAGCCAAGCCTGGCTCTGCTTCGCTTTGTGGGAAGTGAATGAACTTATGTCACACAGTTGCTCTCTTGTGTTCTCATCACTCAAATAACTCACTGCAGAGGTGAGGTAGGTAATACACCATTCACTAGGTCTCTGATGATTTACAAGCTGCTCAGAAAGCCAATAAAGATCTTTATAGCTGGTTTGAACTCAAAGGAACTGCCACTGCTCATTTGCAGTATCACAAGAACATGTCAGTTCCCTCCACTGCACTGCAAATGCATTAATTCTGAATCACACACTCAATAAAAATCATCCTGAAATGAAACACATGCAAAGCAAAAGAGGAGAGGCCAAGTGCAGGAATGCCAGGCTGCAAAATTTCAGAAGGAGCAAACAATTCTCTAGAACTGCTCAAAGAAAATGAGAAAGTATCTCTGTGACCCATGACCAAAGACCTCTGTTTTCTTCAGTCCCTACCTGTGTGCCTTGGTGGAAGTGGCCTGATCAGTGAATCCACCAAATGGCTGGGTTTTCCACTCACTTCGGTGGAGAACGGACACTTTGGGAAAAAAAGTTGTGCAAATTTAGCCGTTGGTGTACATAATCTGAGGTTTCCTGACCTAAGCCACTGCATCCTTCTTTCTTTAGCTCCTTACAGTCTATTTTTCAGGTTGTTCTTATTATACATAAGAAGGACACGGACCTGTTGGAGTGAGTCCAGAGGAAGCCACGAAGATGATCAGAGGGCTGGCGCACCTCTCCTATGAAGACAGGCTGAGAGAGTTGAGGTTGTTCAGGCTGGAAAAGAAAAGAGAAGGCTCCAGGGAGACCTTATAGTCCAGTCCAGTACTTAAAGAGGGCCTACAGGAAAGATGGGGAGGGACTCTTTATCAGGGAGTGGAGTGATAGGCCAAGGGGTAATGATTTTTAACTGAAAGAGGGCAGATTTAGTTTAGATATTAGGAAGAAATTCTGTACTGTGAGGATAGTGAGACACTGGAACAGGTTGCCCAGAGAAGCTGTGGATGCCCCATCCCTGGAGGTGTTCAAGACCAGGCTGCATGGGGCTTTAAGCAACCTGGTCTAGTAGGTGTCCCTGCCCATGGCAGTTGATGATCTTTAAAGTTCCTTCCAATCTAAACCATTCTATGATCCTACGACACATGCTGTCATGTTTGTCTTAGACTGGGTTGCACATGGGAATGAATAGTGTGACCCCCTCCTCTTTTATTGCTCTTTTCACAATGCAAGACCAATCTGCTCTGACAGACCCTCCCAGCCAAGGGTCTCTCTGTTCAGCAAGAGCCCTGTGGATAAAGCTACAGTATGTCTGGAGCAGATTCACAAGTGTGGACAGGAGAAGGAGGTTGTACTTTCTCTTCTGTCAGTGCTGTCCTGCCAGCTGGTAAAGGACACTCTGCTGCTGGAGAGATGGGGCTTGGCTGGGCTGTAAAACTGATATCCTGCAGGGATTTAAACTCCTGCTGCACTTCCTTAAGGGTGAGCTATGAATTGTATTTCCTTGAGAAGTCCCACGGGCTCTGTTCTGTGTACCAGAACTCCTGCCTTCTCCTCTCCTCTCTGTTTTTGGTGGCACCATTTATTGTTCTTGGTCCCACGGGTGCTGCTGAATGCCGTTAAAATGTCCTCCGTGTCAGCCTGCACAAAGCCACATTGCTGATGGAAAAAATGAGCCCTACATGGTTTTTGCAGGAAGCAGGATGGCAGCTCCCTGTGTCATACAGGTGAAAATTTTCTCACACCAGTAACTCATTAGGACAGCATGTGTGAACTCAACTCATTCACACCAATGCAAGGGTTCACAGTCTGTGCCACTCTTCATAACGACTGTTCCAAATGGCAGACGCTTGCTAATCTTTAACGGGTCTCCTGCATTTCCAGTTTTCCTCTTTCTAGCTTGGGTTATTTCTCCTTTCCTGGGCTCTTGCACAGTTCAGTCACCACACTGTTACAGAATGATTGCTAGGGCCCCTAAAATCCAGGATGGAAACACAGCCTCCATGTGCCTGCTGATAAAAATCCTTGTCATTCATGGGATGACCACATCAGTTTAATCGAGGGAGCAGCCAGTGCATCAGCTGAGAAATGTTCAGTTAGGTTTCCAAGGATCTTGAAGAACTAGTTCAATAAATCCTCGCTTGAATGAGTGCACCTTCCATCTCCCACCACATTTTTCATTATGTCACTTAGACACAAACGCACGTGTTTTTAATGTGAAGTTAATCCCCGAGCTGCAGTGAAATGATTAACCCCTTGCCCTTGAATTCCTTGCTACCATATGATTGAGTTCTTATGGAGCTACGAGTTAAAGCAATACTGACAGCTGAATGTAATACTTGAGGCCAGTGGATATTTGCTAACCACGTAAGTCCAGCCTTAGTCATACACATAAAAACTTTTCGGCTTGAGGAGCAAAGGTAAACAACAAAGCAAAACTCCTGGGTCCTGCAAACAAATATTTGTACCCACAGTTATTACTGCTGACTCAGGTTTCTTGAAAATTATCTGTCGAGAAAATAGTGTTGAGAATAAACAGCCTGCAGTTCATAGCTGTTAAACTTTCTGTTAAAACACAGGTTCATGACGCCTTCGCCACTCGGCTTGGGTGTATGATCAAGTTATACCAAGAAAGTGACCCACTTCAGCCTGTCCAGCGGAGCGGTCTCTGAAGAGCTGCATGTTTTTCCCCTCTCTGGGTATGTATGTGTTTAACCAAACACGAGTTAAATACGCATAATCCCCTGCCTTGAGGTGAGAGTGCATTTCATCCTTTTTCCTGCCTTAAAATCTCTAGTGGTGTCAGCCAGGGCTGTGGCTGCAACACGTTTGCTTCCCAGTGATCCTGGGTGCATCGGTGAGGAGCAGCCAATGTAGTTGGTGGGCTGGCAAAGCGACGGCCAGGAGAGCAGGCAGCAGGTGGGCTGTATGTTGGTCTGTTTGTCTGGGAACATGGCCAAACACCCTGCAGCTGGGTAAAAGCATTAAAATTAGGGTGGAATGGGCTGGTGTCCTCTGTTTCTAGCTATGCTATTTCTTTAGTGGTTTTAAGTACCAAGCTAGACTGGTCTGATTCTGCTTCCTTGCCTTTCCCTGAGGGATGAGCCCAAAGCTTTAGCTAGAAGGTCAGTGTGTGCTCTCACTTTGAACCAAGCAATTTTAGATTGAAGAAGAGCTTTCCAGCTTCTGTGAGTGACCAGTTGCTGGCCTCCATGGGTGTTCGTACCGCCTCCCTCGTGTCCACAGGGCTGGCAGACTTTAGTGTTGTGAGGACAGGCTGAGATAGTTGGGGCTGTTCAACCTGGAGGAGAGAAGACTGCAGGGAGACCTTATAGCTCCTTCCAGTACGTAGAGGGGTCCTACAGAAAAGATGAGGAGGGACTCATTTTATGAGTGAGTGTAGCGATAGGAAAAGGGATAATGGCTGTAAACTAAAAGAGAGAAGATTTAGACTAGATATAAGAAAGACATTTTTTACACTGAGGGTCCTGAAACACTGGCACAGGTAGGGGTAGGCAGATGCCCCAGAGAGGTGGTAGATGCCCCATCCCTGGAAACGTTCAAGGTCAGGTTGGACACAGCTGTGAACAACCTGATCTAGTTGAAGATGTCCCTGCTTACTGCAGGGGGTTGGACTAGATGGCCTTTAAATGTTCTTTCCAGCCCAAACTATTTTATTATTTTATGATTCCACAATTTCTGGGATGGCTTTTTGCCTTCACCCCCTTTAAGCAAGGTAAATGAAGCTTGCTTTCACCTGAAGTGAATAGAAGGGGGGGGAAAAGTTTTACAACTGTAAACAACACACAATTTTTGTGCTTCACAAGTCGGGCCTGTTTCTTGACTTCAGTCCCTTTCAGGAAGGACCTTGTGCGTGCTGCCCTTGCTCTGTGCATGGTGACACCTGGCTGGCCCCTGCATCCCGGGGAGAGGAACATCTGCTCATCCTTGGGCAGGCCTGTGTCTTTTTTCAGGAGAGAGGCCAGCTCTGAGGCCTGGAGCAGACACTAAAGCGATGATGGCGGGAAAACACAGGGCAGAGCAGCGGCACCTGGCCCTGAGGTCCCAAAAGAAGGGATGGGAAGAAAGAAGCCAGGCAGGCATTTGGGCATCTCCTGTCCCTGGGTCGGCTGCCTGCTCTGCCCTTTGCTTGGGCAGGCAGGTACCCCGGCCCTGAGGAGACGGGGAGGACCTGCAGAGTCTCCTCACATCACCTCTTCCATGTTGAAGGAGGCATTTCTGGGCAGTCTCATAGGCAAGTGGGACTACAACAGTGTTTGGGGAGACATCCCAGAGGCACCCCAGGAGGTGGCACCATCCCAGCCCAGTGGGAGAGCACCTCCTGGGGAGACTGGGCTTCACAGATATTCTAGGGAGCATCTCCCGAGTATTGGGAAAGGGCTGCTCCTCTGCGTTTTTCCCTGGTAAGAGAGGAGAGAGAGGGATAAACTGTAGGAGTGATGGTCCCCAGCTCCCCACAGCCCTGCTGTCCCGCCAGTCCCCATCCTGTCCCCAGCCCCACGGAGGTGCCTGATGCCCAGGGCTGGGACTGCCCTGCTCCCTGGCTGGGGGTGCGCAGGGTTGGCCTGTCTTCCCCCCTGGCCCTTGGCTTCCCCAGCTCCCGATGCTCCCTGCCAAATCCCTCCTTGCTCCCTTCATGGATTGGGGACGTAGTGAAAACACAGACACACATTTAAGCGATTGCCTGCGCTTGGACCTCTCTTTCCAGCCCAATTTTAACTGCAGTGCTTAAACCCCATAGATTTTCACTGTTAGCTGATCACAGTGCTTGATGTGCTTTTGAACCAGATGAACTAAAATAGTTCTGTGAGATCTGTTGTGCCTCTGGCTTGTAAAATACAATCATTTCTTACTAGGTTACACTAGTATTTCGTAATTCATTCTTAATATTTTTCTTCAATAAAGCTCTGCGCAAACAATCTATCCCACAGGAGGAACTTCTGCCAGATCCCAGATGTCAAACACATTTGCAAATACAGGAGTTCGTGACCTTTTATGTTTGCTAATGTGACGCCATGGAAATTATTTATAATAAATAACCATATTTCAGAGTCAGGTGCTCTATGGGGCCTTTTTCAGTGATAAAACAGCCTATCCTGAAACAGGTCTTTCCTGTTTTGGGTTGTTTGTTGGGTTTTTTCCCCTAACAATGAAGGTTTGGGAACAATTCGAAACCCTGTCATTGAACTGAGTCCAAATACTATACTGAAAGGTAGACAGGAACTCAAAGATATCTCAGATTTCAAATATTTCCTGAAATCAGCAACAGATAAGGTTCTTCCTTTCTCTTTTATCCTTTACCCTGAAAATTCAGTTTGCAAACAGCATACTGTATGGATCCAGACAAGCACTAAATATAGTGGCTTAAAGCACCAAATCAAACAGGAAACTACTGGAACTGTTTGGATCCAAGCAACAGATTTGATATGCCAAGTGATTTTTGCCTGTAGCATGCTCATTTTAAAGCTGAGGTAGCACTGCCTACCTGCATTCTTGCAGGTGTAAGAACTCTAGAAAGTATTTGAAGGTGTCAATATGTTGATAGCATTTAATCTTGTTATCTTTTCTCAACAGGTGTGAAAAAGTCCTCCCAAACCTGTGCTGAGGTTAAGAGCAGCTAGCTCTTAATGAAGCCAGGCCAGAAAAGGATGCAATTGGAAAATACTGGAAGGAACATGCCTTGGCTCTGTTTCATCCTTTTGTCAACTGCATGTGAAGGTTTATAATGCCTCCTGAGTTTACTGGATCCATCATCTTGGATTCCTAGGCAGTAGCAACAGCAAGAAATGCAGAAAACTGCACCTTTTGCTCCTGCTTAAATATGTACCCACAGTCACTCCTGCTTGTCACTACAGGCTGAAGCTGATGGCCTTGAAACTTCAGTCCATGCCAGTGGCATGGCATCCTGGTGCTGCAGTGTTACCCTCCCATGAACCTCACCTTACCTTGGGCTAGTTTGGGACTGGTTGCCATTTAGGAGGTTGAGGACCGCTATGTTGCTCAGAAGCAATTGCTGCAGCCCACACAGATGTGGAGCTGTGGAGAGACAGGACCGAAGCCTTCTGGTGCGTGAAGGATAAGCCCACCTTGGATTTATTTTCAGCATGTATTAACGATGTGTGTGTGTACAAAGAAAATCTGCCTTGTGCTACAAGGCAAGATACAGCCAGCAAATCTCTTTTCAAATTCACAGTACATCAAATGTAAATGAGATAAAGAGAGGTCTCATTTGGACAACAAAATGTCTCCACACAATTGCTCCTCTAGGCATCCTAGCAACCTTTTCAAGAGATGCTGGTTATCGTGCAATAAAGCTGTTCTTCTGCAGTGCTGAGGGAGGAGGCAACTGGCTACAGTCTCAGATGGTGGACAGAATTACAGTGGGTTATGTCAGGAAAGCGTAACGTTAAACGTGCATTTGAAAAAAGGAGAAAACAAAAAATAATAGTCACGGCCTGAATTATAGCAGCTTTCTATGATGAAGTGTGTGGACCCCACCCAGCATCTGTGGTAGAGGAGGGAAGGTGTCTGCTAAACCCAACGGTTATGATGGGAATGGAAAAAGCCAGGCTCCAGCTGAGAGTAGGACAGGGAGGATGAGGAAACAGTTTCATGTTTCTCCCAGCAAAACCTCAGGGGATAAAGATTACTGCTGCAAAAACTTTAATGGTAGTAAAAGCCTTTGGCTGCAGAAGTTGTTTATAACGGAGGTGTATTAACCGCTTAGAGACCTCAGCTGAAGAGGACTCTGATATTTCACTGAATCTAAGTTGCAAAATCCTTTTTTCTCTCTCAAAAAGCCTCTGCATCAGAAAACTTAATTTATTGGATACACATGGAGTTTGGCTGGGAGACATTATATGCTGTGTGTCAGACATGTCCCGATAACGCCCTGCTTTCAGGTCCCGACAGCTGAGCTCACCACTTGGCTAGTGCACTATTCACTGGATTTTGAGTCTGATCATAAGTATGTCACTTTGCGTTAGTTTCTGAAACTAAAATATTTCACAAGCAGTAGTGTTAGACGCTTGCTTGCTCTGAAGGATTCTCAGCAGAGCTGGGCAAGCTATTTGCAATCATCAACTGCTTAATTGCATTTAATCTTTTACAAAGTAGGCAAGAACTAAGCAATGATGTCTTCCACTTCTTTGCTTGAAAGATTTCAGTGTGCTCTGTGCAAACATGATTCAGCCTCTGAACCGCTTGATTTTTAACCTGGAAGTTGGCATGATTCAGTAAGTGTGCATGAGAGGTGGGATCAGGTTTCTGATGCAAAGGACCATGAGGGAGAATTCAAGCTTGGTTTATGCAAAGCTGCAGCCTCCATCAGCGCTCCCTTGTTCACTGGGGCATTTGTACAAACTGAAGAAAATGGGTCTTAGTCTGTTTAAAAGCTTTTGCAGATATAAAGAATTACTCAAGAACATTTGTGTCACTACTTACACATGGGGGTTTTATTGTTTCAGGTCTACTTCCTGAAGGTTTGAGGCCCAAAGACTACTTGTAGCTACTTTCTACTGTCTTCTATTCTGGCTACTCCTCTTTCACCGAGAAAAACACTGGGAAGTTGTAATCTAATAGCATAAACAGCCTCAGCAGCAAGTGAAAAAGTGTGCTCTGCAGAGGTTCAAAACAGATCAGACAGGCCTCGCTGGGGGATATGAGAGGTGAAGCGTAGCCCAGACCAATAAATTCTCCTCTGTTGGCTCTGCACAGGTCTGCTCAAGTGTCTCAGCCCTGCACTGCCGGAGCTGAGCGCGCCGTGGTTTGGCACAGCCAGCCAAAACCAGCCCCGTTTATTAGCTTGGTCTCAGAACTGGGGGTGCCCTGGGTGGAGGCAGCAGGAGGAGGCACGAGGAGCTGCAGAGCCCTGGGAACTAGTGAGGACGAGCAGGGATGGACACGGAGGGGAGAGGGGCCAAGAGCAGGCGGTGGTGAGGCATGGGAAACTCGGCAGGTTCCTCAAGCCAGGTTTACAGAAAGATTAGCAAGTGCGAAAACAGAGCGTGGGGCACTCTATGCTGCCAGGAGGCTGTCAGGGAAGGAAGATAGTATTTGCCGCTGACAGAGAAGTTGAGGGAGCAAAGAACAGAGGTAAACTGGTTTCACTGCTGACCTTCAGACTTAATTTGTTTGTGACAAAAATCTTCTAAGGGAGGGAGGAAGTCTGTTTCCCATCCCAGCTGAAAAAAAATCACAGCAGAGTAATGTCCTCCCCTTCCACACAAAGTCAGGATGGCCACATCCCTTACCATGCACAGCTGAATTTTGTGCTTATTGAAACAAACTGCCCAATTTTCAAGCACCTGCAAGTAGAATGGAAGGTGTGCCCCAAACCACCCAAAAAACCCTGGGGATATAAGAGGCCCTCTCAAATGACAAGAGGGCAGCTTTGCCTTGAGAAAGAAGGAAGGTAGTCTTGCAAACTGGTTTGGTTTTTTTTTTTCCTTTAACTGTCTTATCAAAAATATAATTTTTAATGTCATTTCCTTCATTGGAGAGGCAATCTGCAGTTCCAAAGGCTGGTTGCTACCCCACGGCCGACTCCAGCAGCCGGAGAGCTGCTCAGGCAGGACTGAAGAGCCTGAAAAACCCTCGAGCATGAAAAAGCTGATGTAAGCAGAGAGCAGCAAGCTGCACACGGTGACCTTATCAGAAGTTAAACACCCCGCTTCTACCAACAGTGAAAATAAAGCTGTTCGATCACATACATTAATTCAGTGAGTCGCCTTGCAATGAATGTGTGTTTAACGTGCACCTCAGGAGAACTCAGACAATTTTGGAAAGCATACCAGGTTACTGATATTTCTTTAAAACAGTGACCACGCATAATCTCATGAGCTCCGTTAACAGGAATCAGAGCCACTCTGCTGTTTGAAACCTCAGCACTGTGCGGCTGGCTCGGCGCAGAGATGAACAGAGATGCTTTGTTAGCTCAAATATGACGAGTCCGTGCTTCTGGCAAAGGGTATCTCCTTGCAGGGGCTCTGGAGCTCAGAGTAGCTGTGTTACGCTGCATGATGACAGGCATGAAATTCTCAGTTAGCAGCAGGTCCCTGGTGCTATTAAATTTAGAATAAAAAATACTGCCATAGAAAAACTACAACTTCAAGAGCTAACAGGGCGATCGTGCGAAACTTCACTGACTGGAAATTTTAATGCTCTTAGAGCATTAAACAGCATTTCCTTGAGGAAACACTCCCTTTTTCCTGCTAAATGCAGCTCCACTTCTTGCTCATATTAGCCTCCTGGGGTATTTTAGCAGTTCTAGTTCTTTATCAGAAACTGTAAGAGGAGAGAGAAGAGGGAGAGAACCACCTTGAGCCTCACAAAACTTTTCCTCCCTGCGAGGAGATCTCTGAACCAATTCCCCATATGCAGTCTGTGAACTGTCCTACAGACTATGCCCTCTATGGCAGGGGCTTTCTCTGACTTTAAAAATCAGCCTTTAAAAATCAGGGGTCCGTGTTCCAGCTGGACACGCCATGTACCAAGACGATGATGGAAATTTTAAAAACTCGCTTTCCCCCTCTAAGGTATAAGGCCTGCTTTTGCTTCCAGTGGAGTGAGGGGCCGCTGGGGCAGGGGCTGTGCCAGGCTGCAGCCAGAGAGAAGGGCAAGTTCACGGCAGCAGTTCGGAGATCACCCAGCCCCCGGCAGCAGTTGTGGTGAGGCGGGCGAGGGCTGAGCCCCCCCTCTTCCCCCCCCCC